TACTTTTACTTCCTTTTATTGAATACACAATGATACAATTTTCAGGAAGGGGGAAGCGGCCAATCAAAGGGCTGTCATGGGGAAAGTCAGTTGCTGACTGCACGCATTTCGTTCCACCTTGAACGTGGTTGGTGCAATGCGACTCTAACCAGTAGACTAGCTCACATAGGTCCCGTTAGGCTCCCTGGCTGGGGACCTCGGGATGATCGCAACCGAAAAAAAAGAGAAACTGAGTGATGTGGATGATTATCGCAAACAGTGGCGTTCGTGCATCTTCTCCACTTATTTGCAACATTAGCCCACTGAACTTCTCCATTTTCATTAGACTCTACTTTCAACTTTCTTGTCCTTCTCCTACTGTTCAGCCAAATGGGCAGCCAAAAGACAGCAACCAAAACCGGCGCACGAAAGTGCATGCTTAATGGTTGAACAAACTGAAACTGAATGTGATTAGGTTTTCATAATCATAAACCAAAAGGAGGTATTAAAGGAAGTCCAAAATTAGTAATCAGAAGATGTAGGGAGTTGACTAATTTGAAATTAATGATGTTTCTGGACGAATTCTCTCTCACTATCAACTGAAAACCATCTCACCTTGTGGATCGATACACAAAGACCATCGATCAGAATTGGTAACAATAATCCCATTATCGATAGAAAAACTATCCACCGGCAGACCGGCAATATTCCACGACCGAATTTTCACCGGATCACCCAAAGTGTCCGAAATACGAAACGTATCGGAACAGGGCACTTCCAATTTCATGCACAATTGATGCCATTCCTGTTGAATCCCCGTACGAAAGTCGACAGTGAACGGACCCAAATAGGCAACCACTCCGGCGCTCAGGAGCACATCACCGATTATATTATGATAACGGTTCTAGAACAACGAAAGATGGAGAAAAAATAGGGAAAGTATACTAAAACAAGTGAAGAATGTCGCATGAATGGCAAGAATGAGGATGAACAAAGTAGACAACCAGTTTGATCAATTTTATTACTTATGAACAAGACACTGTTCGGTTATTCTCAGTGAGAAACTAGACGATTGCAAGTGTGAATTAGGGTTGATTTCACCCAATTCAGGCTATTATCTGGACAATCAAACTCTCGGCATGAGATGGTCCACCCACTTTCAGAGAAGCTGCTGCTTCAGTCCATCGTGTCTTCTCTCCACCCAATCCGCTGATTAGTTTCTCTGCTCGATCCAGCTTCTTGCTGCACAGTTCAATATTGTCTTCCAAATCCTGCTTTTTTGTTTGCATCTCATCCAATTGATCCTGTAATGCTTGGAATTTGGCC